TCCTAATTTAGTTTCCCAAACTCTCCCGCAGTCCCACACTCCGTAGATAGCACCGTGGTCTGCCATTCCCGGCTGGCAGCTTTGCTAACTGCAAACTGAAAACCGCCAAAAGCCAGAGTCTGGCGCAGGTGGGAGTGTGCGCTCAGACCGTCCCCAACAGGGGACACGGGCCCTCCTCCTCGGACCCTTTGCTGAGTGCTCCGGCTCTTATCTTCTCTCTGCACTTAGTTACTTGCACATACCCTAATCCTGACTGCTTTCAAGGTAGGACAGCGTGGGCGGGGACATACCTCATACATGTGACTCTTTAAAGACACTTACTGTGGGATTTTTCAAAAATCAAGCCCTGAGGAGCCTCTGCCCCTCCCAGCGGAGCCCCCAGAGGGTGTCCAGGGTGCCCCAGTGGCCGTCCCCGTTCCCAGGCAGGGCGGGCCCCCCAGTGTCCTGGAGCGGAGACCCCGATTGGACCTGGCCAGGCGCCAGCCCTGAAGTCGTCTGGTGGCCCTCAGTCCCCACCCAAGGACTGGAGTGCCCGTGTGGGCAGGGCAGGGACGGCCACGCGGCCACAGCCACACCTTCGAGCTGCTCACACACTCGGTGGCACCGTGACGAGAGGGGACCGCGGTTCCCTGAGCTCGGGCCGAGGGGCAACTGCACCGGGCACGTGCTCGCCCTGTGAGCCTGGGACTTGGCTCACCCTGTACCTTGGCACCGCCCTGCGCCGTTGTTCTTGGCTGCTGCTCTCAAACTGCGAAAGTATTTGCTGGAAATGTCCTTGGCTCCGCCACACCGCAGCTCCCCTGCACTGTACCCTGCTGGCTCCACCGCTCGGATCCAGGACAGGAGGGAGAGGGAATGGAGAGGGACAAGCGGGGAAGGAGGAAGACTCCTCCTCCCCTCCTGAGAGGGTCGCGCTGCCGGAAGCTTCTGGAATCCCTGAGGGCGGTTAAGCCCCTCAACCGAGAATTGCACAGCCCCTCAGAATGGCTCCCCACGGATGCTGTCAACTTCACCGAGCGCTTCTGAGTTTCACCTGGTGATAAACAGCGCTCGGCACGGAATGATCGTTTGCCTTGGGCCTCGCAGAAAATGCCTGAGCTCGAAAGCGTCGCGTGAAGCCTTGTTGATGGACGGAGCAGAGTTTTCGCCGTGGGACTCTCACCTGCCAAGCCTCAGTCTATCTCATTTAAAGGAAAAGCAGCCCCACCTGCCCCGCGGGCGCTCCCTTGTGGGGAAGGCGGCTGGCGCCCTGGAGGCGCGGCGCAGTGCCCGGGGCGGGGCCTGTGGCGCGTGGGCGAGGGGAGCCACTCTCTGTCCGTCCGCCGTGGGAACGTGGGGACCCAGGCCGAGAGGAGCCACGGAAAGCTGGCAGCCGAGCAGAGGAACAAAGAATAACACGGGCCTGAAAGGATGAAACAGGAAAGCAGAGACGGGCTCTGCCTGGGGTGGGGCCAGGAGCGGCAGTGGGTGTCCTGGGGGTTCCCAGGGGTCCCCGGGGCTGAGGCGTGTGCCTCCCCTCCCAGGGCCACACCGGAAGGCACCTCAGAAGCCGCGGACACTCCGGTGTTCCGACTGCGCGGAGCCAGGACGGCACTGTGGCTGGCCCCTGTGTCCACACAGCAAACCCCGGACGGGGCTCCTGTGCCGGCACCACAGCGTGGAGGGGCAGGCGTGGGGCTGAGAGCGAGGAGAGAGCCGCAGACGGCGACACTCCACCACCAGGACCAGCGTGGCGGGGAGGCCCCTCCAGCTGGACGTCCACACCGGGCACAGCCACTCCCCGGTCACCGGGCCCAGCTGCAGGAGGGTCGACTCCTCGGAAGGCCAGGCCTGGGGACGTCGGAGCACGGGGCTGTGACTCCACAGGGCGGGACAGGCCCCCCCTCTCCAGGTTGGCCCCCTCACACCTGCCCTCTGCTGTTGTCATGTAACACCCTTTTCCTATAGCCAGTATTCAACATGCTCCTATCCAGTAGGGTTTTGTAAAATCTCCATTTTACAAATAAAAACACTGAGGCGTGGAGAGCCCGGGACGTGGCCGGCGGTGAAAGTAGGGCGTAAGCAGAGAGAGCCTGATGGCAGAGCCTGTCCGGGCTCCCCGAAAGTTGCAAGGTCCAAGGAAAAAGAACCCCCGGAAAACGGCCCGGAAAGGCCCCCCCAAGGCCCCCCGCCAACCAACAGGCCCCCAACCCCGTGGGAAAGAGTGCAGGTTTGCCCTAAAGGGCCTCCCGTGAGCATGTCCTTTAAAACTCTGCAGCAAGACCGCCAAAGAGAGAGCAGGGACAGCTACGTGCTCCCAGAGAGCCGGGGTCAGGGGAGGGTTTCTGCAAAAGCTGAATCTTGGAGGAAATACAGATTACGGGGCGGGGCACCTTCCGCCCTCTCTGGTTAGCGTTTTCCCTGAAGACACTGGATCCACAAATGCTGCTGGGACGCCTGGCTGTGCCTGGCAGGGCGCCCGAGAGCAGGGGTAGGGGAGCCGCCCCGACGCGGACGGCCCCATCCTGCAGACCAAGCGTGAGGGCAGGGCGCCGGCCCGGGGCACACGGGCACGGCCGCGTGGAGAACTCACGAGTGGACAGTGGGGGTCCCGTGAAGAACCCGCCAGGCCACAGCAATGATTCGTTGGAATTTAGCGGATATTCTGACGTATCGACTACATGCAAATATCAGGTCAAAAAGACCGCTTAGATCTTTGGTGTGGACAACGGACAAGGAAATATTTGTTAGAGATACGGTTTCCTCAAACATGACCACTAATGGCCCCACCAGAAAATGTGTTAGAAAAATGTGTCTGAAGAGATATGTAGAAAGCTTCGTGATACTGACGCAGACATCAGAGACGTTTCTAATGATCCTGTAGCCTGCCTGTGCTGTTAAGGGCTGTGGCTGGACACGGACATGGACACACCCTCACGCCATCACGACGCCAGGCACAGGGCTCATCTAACACGCAGTGCACGAGCAGAACACAACGTGCACATGCACGTGATGTCACGCGTGTGGAAGGTGTCCTCGCACCAGTGCCGTAAGTGGCCCGCGCACAGCGGTGACGACTCCCGTCGGGGTCTGGCACGGCGAGGCCCGGAGCCCTGGGAGTGAGGGTCGGGGTCGGGTCAGGGCAGAGGCCCGGAGCCCTGGGAGAGAGGGTCGGGGTCGGGTCAGGGCAGAGGCCCGGAGTCCTGGGAGAGAGGGTCGGGGTCGGGTCAGGGCAGAGGCCCGGAGCCCTGGGAGAGAGGGTTGGGGTCGGGGTCGGGTCAGGGCAGAGGCCTGGAGCCCTGGGAGAGAGGGTTGGGGTCGGGGTCGGGGTCGGGGTCGGGGCGGAGGCCCCGGGTGGCCGAGGCGTATGAGGAAGCCACGCCGGGCTCCGCAGAGGAGGGCGCGGGACGGAGCGCACCCTGCCCTCAGCACGCGAGGGAGAGACAGAGACGGTGGCTCCACACCGGCCCCACGCAGCCCCGGGGAGCTCATGGGTCCTGGAGCAAAGAAACCAACCGTCGAAAATGTCACGAGACACCTCGGAGCTCTCAAAACACACCCTTTAGTTGGTGATATCAGCCAACGGGCTGAAAAATTAGGTGACTAAGGATATTGTGCCTGGGTGTTTGCCTCTAGGAATCACCCCAAAATAGTCCACTGGGGGAGGGGCAGGGGAGGGGTGAAGCAGGACCTGCCGAGCCCGACGATGAGACCCAGGGTGAGTCGAGGGTTCTGCTCGCTCTGCCTTTGTGAGTTTGGATTGTTGGATCCACCTTTGCGCAGGTTTGATGCTTTCCACCGTGAGGAAGCGTTTTAAAGCAGTTAGAACTCTATGAACGTCCCAACAGCTCTAAACAGTGAAACCGAAGGGCAGGTCTCCCCCCTCAGAGCCTCAGCTCCCGAGACCCCCCAGGCCCCCAACCCCAGCCACCTTCCCACGGCCAGTCCCCTTGGCCTGCACCGATGCACACACAGTCGTGCACATGTCTGCCCTGCGCATGCACCTGGTCGGCCGTGCACACATAATTGTCCTGCTAATGCACATGGTCGGCCGTGTACATAATCGCCCTGCACGTGCACGGCTGGCACACAGTAGGCAGTGCACACGATCGCTCTGCACATGCCCAGCTGGACACAGTCGTGCATGGCTGGCACACAGTAGGCTGTGCACACGATCGCTCTGCACATGCCCAGCTGGACACAGTCGTGCACGGCTGGCACACAGTAGGCAGTGCACACGATCGCTCTGCACATGCCCAGCTGGACACAGTCGTGCATGGCTGGCACACAGTAGGCAGTGCACACGATTGCTCTGCACATGCCCAGCTGGACACAGTCGTGCATGGCTGGCACACAGTAGGCTGTGCACACAATCCCCCTGTGCGTGCACATGGTAGGCCGTGCACACGATCGCTCTGCACATGCCCAGCTGGCACACACAGTCGTGCATGGCTGGCACACAGTAGGCTGTGCACACAATCCCCCTGTGCGTGCACAGCTGGCACACGGTAAGCCGTGCACACCATCGGCCTGTGCGTGCACATGGTAGGCCGTGCACACGATCGCTCTGCACATGCCCAGCTGGCACACACAGTCGTGCATGGCTGGCACACGGTAGGCCGTGCACACCATCGGCCTGTGTGTGCACATGGTAGGCCGTGCACACGATCGCTCTGCACATGCACAGCTGGCACACAGTCGTGCATGGCTGGCACACGGTAAGCCATGCACACCATCGGCCTGTGTGTGCACATGGTAGGCCATGCACACGATCGCTCTGCACATGCACAGCTGGCACACACAGTTGTGCATGGCTGGCACATGGTAGGCCGTGCACGTGTCCACCTTGTGTGTGCACAGCTGGCACATGGTAGGGCATGCACGTGTTCGCCCTGCACGTGCACGGCTGGCACACGGCTCTGTCTGATGGCAGCTGCTGTCACGTGTCCTGAACACGGCTGTTCCTCTGCGGCGGGCTCTGCCCAGGCCTGTGGCTAATAGCGTCTCCTGTCTCCCCCCAGCTTGTCCGGGTGCCCGAGAGCCACGTCGGCGATGAAGAAGGCGAAGCTGTCCGGCGAGCAGATGCTGACCATCAAGCAGCGCGCCAGCAACGGTGAGGCACCCGCGCTCGGAGCTGGCCGGGCCATGCCCGCGGCCCTGCGTCCTCCTACGTGACAGTGACAGCCGCTTTTCCTAGAAAGCAGGGGCAGGAATAATCCCCGCTCCTCAGCTCGGGAAAAAGAGCGTCTTTCCCAAGCCCTGTCCCGACCTCACCACGCACCAGAACCCAGTCCCCAGGGCCCTCTCCAGCTCCCCAGAATCCCCCTTCCCGCCGCTGCCCCCCAGGCCCTCATGCCTGGCGCTGCGGGGGGGCAGCTGGGCTGGAGGACTCCGCGGGCGCAGCCCCTCCCTCCCCCATCACCCCTGCAAGCCGGGCACCAGATCTCGAATGCACTGCCACAGCCCCCTCCCCCCAGCGCCTCGTGCCCGCCGGTGCAGGCGTGCGCCCTGCTGAGCCCGGAAACATGGGCTGGGGGAGGACGGCGGCGACGGGGCCACAAACGCCCTCCTGGGCTCCACACCGGCAGGCCTCCCGCTCGCCACAGTCGGTTTGTTTCTCAAGATCAATACTGTGAGCATGTGTGCGGTCACTCCTGGACCACGCAGGGCAGAGGCGTGGAGGCGTGTTTGCGTGCTGAGGGCGTGTCCTCGCAGAGGGGGACGAGCCTGGCTCCGCCTTCCCCTTCCGCCCCCCGACTGTGAATGCACGTCCTTCAGTGGGCTGTTTAGTGCCTTGTTTTCCGTACTTTTGTGCTTTCTGTTGTGATTCTGCTGCTGGCACTGGCCCCAGACACAGAGTCAAAGCGTTGGGGGTCCCCAAGTGCCTCGCAGGGAGCCCACGCGTGTCCCCAACCCCGACCGAGGTGCCGCACGCAGGCAGGAGCGGCCCTGAGCTCGGTGTCGGCGAGGCTGCGACACCTGCCGCGTGAGTGGTCGTCAGAGACCCACCTGGAGCAGGTGTTCACTGACGGCTGACACCGACGCTGGCCCAGGGGCTCGCAGCACCCACCCCGTGTGTCCCTGGGAGCGGCGGCTCCGCTCTCGCCGACTCCCGCGAGCACGGTCGGACTGTGACTGGGCCCTCAGCCCTCTGGCCGCCCTCCCCGCAGAAGCTCAGCCCCATGGGCTCTCGTGAAGCAGAATCTCAGGCCCCCACTTGCAAGACGCGTCCCCAGCTTTGTGTCCCTAAAAGGAAGCTGCAAAGCTCTGTAGCTCCCAGAAGTGGGTCGCCTGGGCTGCGGGCTGTCAGTGCATGGACCCCCACCCCCGCAGAGCCCGGAGCCCAGGCTGTGTCTTTGCCCAGGCCCACCCCCAACAGCGCTGACAGGAGCGAGAACATGAGCAGGCCGAGCTGGGGCGCGGGAGCTCCACGGGTCTCTCGTCCTCTGACCGCTCGCTGTCCATCCTGGGGACAGCGTGAGAGCCGCCTGCCCCAGCTTCGCCCACCCACCACTTACCAGAAAAGCAGCGGGCGCGGTGACTGTCCTCAGGTCCTTCGTGGCCGCGGTCCTGGGAGCCGGGGCCCCGCCCCTCTTCCCTCACATCCGGCGAGGTGTGTGGGAACCAGAGGAGTCAGACAGGCTCTGCCTGCCAGAAGTTCCCGCCCCACTGCCCGATCTTTCGCAAATGACGGTGGAGGGAGCCCAGATCCGAGACTCGAGGACAGCCAGGGTCCCCTCCTCTCTGTCACCAGGAGCCGAGGTCACTTCCAGAAAGAAAGCACTTACTAAGCTCCGTCCACGTGCCCGGCATCTTCCAAACACGTAGTCTAGTGCCTCGGCCCCAGACAAGCTGCTGGCAATGCTAAACTCCTCAGACAGTTGCTCTGGGCCCGTGGTCCTTGTCACTGCGCTCCGTGGGCCCGAGTCCGCATGCAGGCCCCAGACATCGGGCCCTCTCCCATTCCCGCCAGACACAGCTGGTGGCACAGAGAGCCAGGTGCGGTCCTGGAGGGTGCAGATACGCAGGTGGCCGTGGATCAGAGGAACCACCCACTGTCCACCCTGCCCGGCCCGCCTGCACCCAGTTCTCTGCGTTTGCTCCCAGCTGCTGGACACGGCTCGCACCGTGCTGAGTTTTGGGACAGAAACTCGGGGAGGTGCCGCGCTGCGCTGGGAACCCACGTGTTTATCTCCTCTGACATCCGAAACAGCCGCACTGATGTCCCACCCCACCCGTGAGGGGAAGGTGACAGCCAGCGTGGTCTCCGCTCAGCACAGAGCGCTGGTCTTTGGGAGCCACCAGGAGCCTAAACGAATCAAAATCTCCTGGCCACACCGCGCAGATTTAAGTAGGACTGTTCGGTGGTTGGTTGCTAGCGGGCAGGTTTCCTGGCTGTGAGACGCGCCCACCGCTGGCCAGTCCTTCACCACAGCAGGCCCGGCTCTGTGGGACGTAATTATAGGAGTCTGGCTCCAGCCTGACCGTCTGCATGGTGAGGTTCAGTGCAAGGGCCAGGCCGGGCCCTGCTGGTGCCACCCTAAGGCACAGACACCAGCCAGGTGGGGACCTGCTTCTCCGGGGTCCCTGCCCCACAGCGCCCTGACAAGGCTGAGGGGGCCGGCGTCTTCGCACTGGCCAGAAGCTCTCCTGTCCCTACGCTGAGGTGCCCATGCCCTGGGCACTGGCAGGATCGTCCAAGGGGCAGGTGGACAAGGACTGCCCTAAGGAAATTGGTCTCCAGCCGCCAGTTCCGCAGCCCTCCCTCTCTCCGGGATCCTGTGGACCCAGAACCCGCCAGTTCCCCAACTCCCTCCTCACGAAAAAGCCCATGCGCCAAGCGAGGAAGGCAAACCCGCACATCCCTCCTATCTCCCATCACTCCCGCGTGGAGGTCAGAGATGAGAGGTCGCAGGGGACCAGTCCCAAGAGCATGGAGGTCAGGGATGAGAGGTCGCAGGGGACCAGTCCCAAGAGCGTGGAGGTCAGAGATGAGAGTTCCGAGGGGACCAGTCCCAAGAGCGTGGAGGTCAAGATGAGAGGTCAGGCGGACGAGTCCAGAGCAGTGGAGGTCAGAGATGAGAGGTCCACAGGGGACCAGTCCCAAGAGCATGGAGGTCAGAGATGAGAGGGGCGCAGGGGACCAAGTCCCAAGAGCGTGGAGGTCGAGAGATGAGAGGTCGCAGGGGACCAGTCCTAAGAGCATGGAGGTCAGAGATGAGAGGTCCACAGGGGACCAGTCCCAAGAGCATGGAGGTCAGAGATGAGAGGTCGCAGGGGACGTCCTAGAGCATGGAGGTCAGAGATGAGGGCTCACAGGGACCAGTCAAGAGCATGGAGGTCAGAGATGAGAAGGTGCCCAGGGGACCGTCCAAGAGCAGTGGAGGTCAGAGATGAGAAGGTCGCAGGGGACCAGTCCGCAAGAGCGTGGCAGGTCAGAGATGAGAGGTCCAGGGGCCAGTCCCAAGACGTGGAGGTCAGAGATGAGACGGTCGCAGGGGACCGGTCCAAGAGCGTGGAGGTCAGAGAGTGAAGAGGATCAGGGGACCAGTCGCCCAAGAGCGTGGAGGTCAGAGATGAGAGTCCGCAGGGGACCAGTCCCCAAGAGCGTGAGGTCAGAGATGAGAGGTCGCAGGGGGACCAGTCCCAAGAGCCTGGAGGTCCGAGAGATGAGAGGTCCAGAGGGACCAGTATCCCAAGAGGCGTCGGAGGTCAGAGTGAAGTCGCACAGGGGACCAGGTCCCAGAGCGGTCGGAGTCAGGGATGAGAGGTCGCAGGGGGCCAGTCCAAGAGCGTGGAGGTCAGGGATGAGAGGTCGCAGGGGAGCAGTCCAAGAGCGTGGAGGTCAGGTGAGAGGCTCGCAGGGGATCAGTCCCATAGACGCGTGGAGGTCAGAGATGAGAGGCTCGAGGCATGGGACCAGTCCCAAGAGCGTCGGAGGTCAAGCAGATGAGAGGTTCGCCAGGGACCAGTCCAGAGAGCTGAGGTCCAGAGATGAGAGCGCAGGGGACCAGTCGCACAAGGAGCATGGAGGTCAGAGATGACGAGGTCGCAGGGGGCCAGTCCCAGAGCGTGGAGGTCAGAGATGAGAGGTCAGCAGGGGACCGCAGTCCAAGAGCGTGGAGGTCAGAGATGAGAGGTGGCAGGGGACCAGTCCGCAAGGGCATGGAGGTCAGAGATGAGAGGCGCGCAGGGGACGCAGTCCAAAGCTGGAGGTCAGAGATGAGAGGTCCAGAGGGGAAGCATCCCCAAGAGCGATGGAGGTCAGCAGATGGAGAGGCCCGGACCGTCGCAGAGGAGCGCAGAATGAAGGCCAGCCAGTCAAGAGCGTGGAGGTCAGAGATGAGAGGCCGCAGGGGACCAGTCCCAAGAGCGTGGAGGTCAGAGATGAGAGGTCGCAGGGGACCAGTCCCAAGAGCGTGGAGGTCAGAGATGAGAGCCGCAGGGGACCAGTCCCAAGAGCGTGGAGGTCAGAGATGAGAGGTCGCAGGGGACCAGTCCCAAGAGCGTGGAGGTCAGAGATGAGAGGTCGCAGGGGACCAGTCCCAAGAGCGTGGAGGTCAGAGATGAGAGGCTCGGCAGGTGGACCGAGTCCAAGAGCGTGGAGGTCAGAGATGAGAGGTCCAGAGGGGACCAGTCCCAAGAGCATGGAGGTCAGAGATGAGAGGCGCAGGGGACCAGTCCCAAGAGCATGGAGGTCAGAGATGAGAGGTCGCAGGGGACCAGTCCAAGAGCGTGGAGGTCAGAGATGAGAGGTCGCAGGGGCCAGTCCAAGAGGCGTGGAGGTCAGAGATGAGAGTCGGCAGGGGACCAGTCCAACAGAGGTCGTGGAGGTCAGGGATGAGGTAGGTCGCGCAGGGGACCAGTCCCAAGAGCATGGAGGTCAGAGATGAGAGGTGCAGGGTACGCCAGTCCCGCCTAGAGCACTGGAGGTTCAGGGACCGAGAGGTCGCAAGGGGACCAGTTCCCAAGAGCATGGAGGTCAGAGATGAGAGGTCCACAGGGGACCAGTCCCAAGAGCGTGGAGGTCGGGATGAGAGTTCGGGCAGGGCCGACCAAGTCCCAAGACATGGAGGTCAGGGATGAGAGGTAGGCCAGCCGGGACCAGTCCCAGAGCAATGGAGGTCGGATGAGAAGGTCGCATGCGGACCAGTCCGCCAAAGCAGCATGGAGGTCAGGGATGAGAGCTCGCAGAGCGACAGTCCCAAGAGCCCATGGAGGTGCAGAGATGAGAGGCTCGCAGGGGACCCAGTCCCAAAGAGCATGGGGTGCAGGGATCGAAGAGGTTCGGCAGGGGAAACGCAGTCCCAAGAGCGTGGAGGTCAGCAGATGAGGAGTCGCAGGGGACCAGTCCAAGAGGCATGGAGGTCAGCC